TTAAAGAAAGACCCTTCATAGCCAAGGAATTAATTAAGGCTAAGAGGTAACCCATGTCTCAACAAAACCTATTTTCATAGCTATGATTCCCCCTTAGGGTTTCCCCCATATTATTGTGTATTGGCGAGATATGATGATTATTATTGATGTTTGATGTGATGATCCCATGAGGGATCTTGATAATCTTGATATTGGGAGATTCTTGATGATTATGGAATTCTTGATGATTATATAGAGTTCTTGATGATTATGTGTTGTTCTTGATAATTGTGTGATGCTCTTGATGTTTATGTGTTATTCTTACCGAATCTTGCAATTAGAAGACGAACCGTATACTTGTTGATATAAAAGTGATTAAAACCCTAGGTTGTATCGTATGATCTTATTCTTGGATTATCGGGTGGGGAAATCGCATGTTTGGGTGTTGATTATATTTAGAAAAGCATGATAGGTTATGTGCCGTTCGTATTTGATTCGTTAATTGTCTACGTGTTGTCATTAATTGCGTTGTAAAGTGTCTAAGCATGGTTTCAGGTTCCACAACGGTTCCCGGGGTGTAAAGTGTGTGAAAAGAGTCAGTGGGGGGTAAGTGGGGGTAGGGGACCCGCCACCTACCCACGGCCGTGAAACACCGCCCGGCAGCGGGTAGCCGGCGGGCGGGCAGCTGCCCGCCGGCGACCCGCTGCCCGGAACAGTAATTCCGGCGGGCAGCCGGCGGGTGGCCCCCACCCACCGGCTACCCGCTGGAAATTTCCCCAATTCGGGATCCCGGCTTCCCTGTTTGATATTCCCCCGATCCCCGTGGTGTCCCAACGGACTCCGTTCATCGTGCCTATGTCTAGTTTGATATTTCGGGTACCGTTCGTAGGTTTACGAGTCTATTATATTGCATGCTTGTTGAATTGGTATCCCGTTGACCTAGGTGGTTGAAGTATGAACCCCTTAGGACTATTCTTAGTATGTGATGGATCACGCATAGGTTTTGTTATACGTTTTCTCCCCCTTCCTAATGTGTAATGTGGGTTGCATGTGCTTGCTATGTGTTATGTGTGTGTGCTACCCCAATTCGGTTGCGATCGGATTGGTTATCCTGAGCTGCGGTTCAGAAGCTGGCTGCGGTCAGATTGATACTCTTGGGCTGCGGTCCACCGTTTGGTTGCGATCAAACGTTTCTATACGAGCTGCGGTTCGTCCTTTTTCCTGGCTGCGGTCAGATGACATTCTCTTGGGCTGCGGTCCACTGTTTGGTTGCGATCAAACACTATGATGAGCTGCGGTTCATCGGTCGGTTGCGATCGACCCCTCCGTGTTGCGATACGGGGCAGGGTGCTGCGGGGTCGTGTCAGAGCTATATGCGCTGACCCTCATGTATGGGCATGCGATTGGTCCTGTGGCGCCAACAAAGTGTGCTATGTGTTGTGATATGGATGAGTTGTGATTATGAGTGTCTTGGGGGAATGTGACTATGGGATTTATGTTGGGGATCGTTTATGTTGGGATCATGATTATTGTTTATGTCTTGCCTTATCTGCCTTGCCTGTTATGAACTGCATATGCTTGTTATAACTGTTGCTTGTGTCTAGCCTTATCTGTCGAGTCATCCCCGGTTTTAAAGCTAGAGTTTGTAGGATATATCTTCATGCTCAAAATGGTTTTCGTATATCTATATATATCTCTATATGTATTGTATTTCAACGCGTTGGAGTGGGTTACCAGCATCTCTCCCTGAACAGATATATTTGGCTTTCAGGCACAGAAGATTAAGTCACTGGAGGGCGCTAGAACTTAGAAGTAGATAGTTTCCCTTTTGGCCTGCGTGCCACGTTTACGTATTTACGCTTTGAGGATATTAGTTAGTTAGCCTGTGCACTTGGGTTCTCTAGCCCAGGTGTGGCATAGCACCCCGAACGCTTGTATTTATATCTTGGGATTTAATAAGATTCTACCTTTATTATAAGTTTTAAATGTCTTGAAAATCTGGGGTGTTACATAGAGTCCACTTCACTTTTTATAGCCTCTTTCCACATTGGTCCTTCTGTAGAAGTCACGGCTTCTACATATGTTTGAGGCTCGTTTTCTATCAAACAAGATAGAAAATCGGGTTCATTTTCTAATAATCAAGTTAGAGTACCCGAATCGTACTCTAACGAGTAAGTTAGAAAATCAGGACCGAATGATTTTCCAACTCTCGCCCGCTTACTGCGTCTCAGCTCGAACTCGGGTTCTCTCTCAGATTCCCCACTATCATTATCCATAGTTTCGTCAAACATTCGTTTTGACGTACTCGGTCCCTCGTTGGACCTACAAGAAAATATATTTTTGAAGAAATATGCATTCCTTGATTCTATTATCGTTTTCTCATGTACGTCCGGATTATGGGACTCGTGTACTAAGAACCGATAAGCACTACTATTATGTGCATAGCCAATAAAGATACAATCCACCGTCTTAGGACCTATCTTTATTTTCTTAGGTGTTGGCACCAAAACTTTGGCAAGACACCCCCACGCTTTCAGGTACCGGTAAGAAGGTTTCCTACCGTTCCACAACTCATAAGGAGTCTTATCGAGCTTCTTGTGGGGTACCTTATTCAAAAGGTAATTACTTGTCAAAATCGCCTCACCCCACACATCTTGAGGTAGGCCCGAACGTATAAGCATCACATTCATCATATCTTTCAATGTACGATTCTTTCGTTCGGCAACACCGTTCGATTGAGGTGAGTAAGGTGCAGTACGCTCGTGTATTATACCTACACTCGCACAGAAGTCACCAATAGGTGCTTCGTACTCATCACCTCTATCGCTTCTAACCTTCTCAATTCTCTGATTAAGTTTGTTTTCCACTTCATTCTTATAAAGAATGAATTTATCAACGGCTTCATCTTTGCTCTTAAGCAAATACACATAGCAATATCGTGTGCTATCGTCGATAAATGTGATAAAATACTTATTATCGCCTTTCGTTTGTATCGATCTAAAATCGCACAAATCACTTTGGATTAATTCTAGTGGTTCAGTTTCCCTTTCAACCGATTTGAAAGGTACTTTCGTTAGTTTTGCCTCAACACAAATTTCACACTTGTTATTTGTGTCAATTTTAAAGTTAGGAATATGGTCCATGCTAATTAATCTACGCATAGAATTAAAATTAACATGACCTAGTCTACCATGCCACAAATTGGAAGACTCAAGCAAGTAAACATAATTAACTTTGCTTTTATTGATAACAGGAATTACACTGAGCTTAAAAGTCCATCAGTTATGTTAGGAACACTTGTATTAGGATTTTGATGATACCAATGTAACCTAGAATGTAGGCCCCTAACCTTTGTTATTTTTAATCGCTACTTTCGTTCTAGACGAAAGTTTCCATAACTCACATTGTAATACGTGTTAAGCTAGACAAACACACGAAAACGAGTTATGTTTACTTGTTAGGGCTATCAAGACGAAAAGAGACACAAAGCACGAAGCATGAAGCGTCAACAATGAAAGATCACCAGAGGTTGTCAACTACCTCATAGAGACAGTCATATTTATGACGATTCATCAAGACATTCTTCCTCTTCATTAACAAGAAGAATGTCTCTACTGTCTGAGTTGACTAACCATCCTAGGAACAAAAGGACCTCAACATGTGGGACACGTATACCAAGGAGCATTAAATGAAGTTGTACTATTATTCTGAAGCTAAAGGACAAAACCCTAAGGCTATCCATGCCCTCAACGGCTACAAGGTACAAACCACATTAATGGAGCATTTAATGCGGCAAGCTCCCCGGTCCTTACCCATTGGACAATAGGTTTGAAAATTTCATCTCCCTCCAACGGATGAAATTTCCCTCACCTATATAAACCCACCTTCATCAACTTAGAAGGTGTTGGTTCCTTTCACTCGATCATACTATCAAGCAAAAGCTCTTAAACAATCTCAGTTCTCATCAAGCTTTTGTGAACCAGTGTTAAGGTGTGAAGATATTTGAAGAAGCTCATTGATCCTCATCTTCCACCTTGAAAAAGTCTTGCATCTTATACGAAGCAACCATCCTTCATTCAGTCAAGACTTCACCACGTTGGAGAAACCAGAAATCATTTTCTACCAACCTCAACTCTGAAGAAGACGTTGATAGAGGCGAAGTAAACTCGTGGAGTTGAAAAACCTACAGGAAGTTGTCCGGCTTAGTGATCAAGGAAGCTTTCGTGTATTTGTACTAACGAGTGATAGTGCAAACCTTCCATAAGTTGTGCAAGAAGAGTGGAGTAAGCATAGTTGGCCGAACCACTATAAAAACTCTCGTCTCATTGTCTTTTTATTTTCGCGGTTTATTTTTTGCATCATATCATCTTTCGCGCCCTAACCGAAAGTTTCTTTAAAAACATCAAACTGTGCAAGGCATCTAAAATGAACTTAACATTTCCGCTGCGCTATAACTCCAAAAGGTTGTTATCTGGCAAAATTCGAAAAGAGTCTATTCACCCCCCCTCTAGACTCTCGTTATAACTCTACCGGGACCAACAAGTGGTATCAGAGCCAATACCTTGATCGGTAAAGGCTTTGCATTTACTGCCTGGTAGATCCCTTATCAAAAGTCCGTGAAAATTTGCATATTTTCAGCTTTGCACACATTTTTCCTTGCAAAAATGGAAAAGGATCATGCTAACCACTCTAAGCAGCTTGCTTTTAGCCTTTCTAAATTTGATGACTGGAAGGTCAGAATGCAGGCTCTTCTCTGCTCAATACATGACGAAATGTGGGATGTAATAACAACAGGACCAATCACAGTCATGATGGCAAACACACAAGCTGCAGCTCAAGGAGCAGGCGCTGAGCAGATGGTACCGAAACCAAAGGCTCAACTCACCTCGGAAGAAAGAATAAGGGCGAACTTCGACAACGTAGCACGAAACATTCTCTACAACTCTCTTGACGATTCCTTGTTCCCCAGAGTCCAAAAATGCGAAAATGCCATGGAAATATGGAATGTTCTAATGAACCTAGGTGAAGGTGATGAACAGGAGAAGGACAACAAGCTGACAGTGGATATGAAGAAGTTTGAGGACTTCAGGATGCTGCTGAATGAAGCTGTCATGGACATGGAACTGATGTTCACCAGACTCATGGGTGATCTATCAGATCTCAAGAAGGAACTGACTGAGAAAGAAAAGAACCTGAAGATTCTTCGTGGTCTGCCGAAGTCTTGGGAAATGAAAGTCATCGCAATGAGAGACAACCGAGACATGAAGACTACAAGCACAGCCAAAATCTTCAGTGATCTTAAGGCTTACGAGTTTGAGCATGAACCGAAGGATGCTGAAGAACCTGAAACGAGAAACGTAGCTCTCGTGGCCAACCAGCAAGCATCAACATCTAACAGGTCAAAATCTAACTCTTGTGAATTTTTATCTGACGAACAATATGCCCTATTTGTTAGGAAAATGAAGAGGTTTATGAGGAAGAACAACTTCCAAGAATCCCACCGTTCGGGCCACCGAAGGCAACACGAGAGTTCGCCTCAAACCTCAAAGCCAGAAACTTCAGACTCGCAATTGCTGTGCTATAATTGTCGGAGACCAGGACATTTCAAAGCAAACTGTCCTCATCTAATTGTGAGCAAGCACCAAGACAACAACGCTACCAAAAGCTCATCCAAAGAAGCTGGAGACAGTTACATGAGAAATGACAAGCCAGACTCATCAAGCTCCAGAAACGAAAGAAGGAGAAAAGCTATAGTAGTAAACGAAACATCGGACACTGTTGAAGCCGAAAGCAGCTCCTCAAGCTCAAGTTCGGAGGACGAAAGAACCGAAGAAGAAAAAGGACTGCTATGCCTGTTCAGTCAAGAGTCAGAAGACTTATGCCTTATGGCCGATGACGATGAGGTAGATTCCCAATCATCCTCTTGTTATTCAGCAGACTCTAGCTCTATAAGAAGTCAAACTTCCAATGAATCAGTTACCGAAATGATGAGAGAGTTCAAGATAAACAAAAACGCATACTCTAAGTTAAAAGAGGAGAACTCTCGGCTTATGATTAGCTACAATGCGCTAAGGCAAGTTCGAATTGAGAACATAAAGCTAGCCATTGCTAAGAAGCAACTTGAGGAAAATGTTCTCGCTCTAAAAGAGCAGTGTACAGAAAGAGAAAAGAGGGAGCAACAATTACGTGAAGTCTTAGATAAATTCAACAATTCGTCAAACTTAATGGACCGAATGGTGAACGAATCTAGATTGCCCGGGGAAAGAACGGGAATTGGTTTTGACCCCAGCTCCTCTTCACAAATCGGCTTGAACAAATCCACCAATGTTTATTATCACGAGAGTTTTCAATCAGCATTTGTTAAAGGCCCCACCCAGGTGTCTGAGCCTATGACGAAAGTTAACAATGGCGCCATACCATAATCAACAAGCCAACCGAAAGGAAAGGCTGTACAACGAATTGTGGAACCTGGAAATGAAAGATCCTTTAAAGGCAATCCTAGACAAAAATATGTCAAAAGGAATGGACCAAATGGCAATAGAAAAAATCTAAACCATAAAAGGGGTCAGCTGTAACACCCCGTGTTACGATCCCTAAAATCAATTAAATCATTTAATCAATTACCCAAAAGGAAGAATTAAATCACAATAATTAATTAGGAAAGGCCCACCATAGTCCACGGGCCCTTACCCCTAGACCCAATCCTTAGTCCCAAAAGAAATAGAATTAGCGAGCCTATAATATTAGTTTCTAACTAGGACTCCTAAATATATAAATAGAGGACTTAAGAAGCACCTAGGACCGCCCACCACAATAAACGTCCCACCTCCCCAAGGAGCTCCAAGAATTCCCTTAGAAGAAATCAAGAAAACAAGAAAGCTTAAAGAAAGACCCTTCACAGCCAAGGAATTAATTAAGGCTAAGAGGTAACCCATGTCTCAACAAAACCTATTTTCATAGTTATGATTCCCCCTTAGGATCCCCCATATTATCGTATGTTGATGATTCGTATATGGGTGTTATGATTCCATTGATATTCTTGATGATCTTGACGATGATGGGTTCTTGATAATTATGGCGTTCTTGATGATTAAATGACGTTCTTGATGATTACATGGTGTCCTTGATATTCTTAATGATTATATGAGGTTCTTGATAGTTATATGATATTCCTACCGAATCTTGATTTTGGAAGATGAATTGTGTTCTTGTTGGTTTAAAAATAATTAGAACCCTAGGTTATATCGTGGAATTCGTATGGTGTTATTCTTGGTATATTGGGTGGGATTTCGCATGATTGGGTGTTCATTATGATTAGAAAAGCATGATAGGTTATGTGCCGTTTGTTTCTTGATTTTGATCCGTTAATTGTCTACATGTGTTATCAATAGCGTTTGAAAGTGTCTGAGCATGGTCTCGGGTTCCACGAAGGTTCCCGGGGCGTTTTTGGTGTTAATGAGTCAGTGGGGGGTAGGTGGGGGTAGGGTACCCGCCACCTACCTGTAACACCCCGTGTTACGGCCCCTAAAACCATTTAATTAATCAATCAATAGCCCAAGAGAAGGAATAAATCATAATGATTAATTAGGGAAAAAGGCCCACCATAGTCCATGGGCCCTCATATATAAACCCAACCCCTAAACCCAATCCTTAGTTCCAAAAGGAATAGAATTAGCGAGCCTATAATATTAGTTCCAAATTAGGACGACTAGATATATAAATAGGGGACTTAAGGGGCACCTAGAACTCCCCACAAGAATAACGCCCCACCACCCCGAAAGAGCTCCAAGAATCCCCGTAGAAGAAATCAAGAAAGCAAGAAAGCTTAAAGAAAGACCCTTCATAGCCAAGGAATTAATTAAGGCTAAGAGGTAACCCATGTCTCAACAAAACCTATTTTCATAGCTATGATTCCCCCTTAGGGTTTCCCCCATATTATTGTGATTGGCGAGATATGATGATAATTATTGATGTTTGATGTGATGATCCCATGAGGGATCTTGATAATCTTGACATTGGGAGATTCTTGATGATTATGGAATTCTTGATGATTATATAGAGTTCTTGATGATTATGTGTTGTTCTTGATAATTGTGTGATGCTCTTGATGTTTACGTGTTATTATTACCGAATCTTGTAATTAGAAGACGAACCGTATACTTGTTGATATAAAAGTGATTAGAACCCTAGGTTGTATCGTGTGATCTTATTCTTGGATTATCGGGTGGGGAAATCGCATGTTTGGGTGTTGATTATATTAGAAAAGCATGATAGGTTATGTGCCGTCGTTTCTCGTATTTGATCCGTTAATTGTCTACGTGTTAATTATTAGTTGCGTTGTAAAGTGTCTAAGCATGGTTTCGGGTTCCACAAAGGTTCCCGGGACATTATTGTGTGAAAAGAGTCAGTGGGGGTAGGTGGGGGGGTAGGGGACCCGCCACCTACCCACGGCCGAGAAAACACCGCCCGGCAGCGGGTAGCCGGCGGGCGAGCAGCTGCCCGCCGGCGACCCGCTGCCCGGAACAGTACACTCCGGCGGGCAGCCGACGGGTGGCCCCCACCCACCGGCTACCCGCTGGAAATTCATCCCACCCGGGATCCCGGCTTCCCCGTTTGATGTTTCCCCTTTCCCCGTGGTGTCCCAACGGACTCCGTTTATCGTGCCTATGTCTAGTTTGATGTTTTGGGTACCGTTCGTAGGTTTATGAGTCTATTGTATTGCATGCTAGTTGAATTGGTATCCCGTTGACCTAGGTGGAAGGAGTATGAACCCCTTAGGACTATTCTTAGTGTAACACCCCAGATTTTCAAGACATTTAAAAACTTATAATAAAGGTAGAATCTTATTAAATCCCAAGATGAATACAAGCGTTCGGGGTGCTATGCCACACCTGGGCTAGAGAACCCAAGTGCACAGGCTAACTAACTAATATCCTCAAAGCGTAAATACGTAAATGTGGCACGCAGGCCAAAAAGGGAAACTATCTACTTCTAAGTTCTAGCGCACTCCAGTGACTTAATCTTCTGTGCCTGAAAGCCAAATATATCTGTTCAGCGAGAGATGCTGGTAACCCACTCCAACGCGTTGAAATACAATACATATAGAGATATATATAGATATACGAAAACCATTTTGAGCATGAAGATATATCCTACGAATTCTAGCTTTAAAACCGGGAATGACTTGACAGATAAGGCCAGACACAAGCAGCAGTTATAACGAGCATATGCAGTTCACAACGGATAAGGCAGATAAGGCAAGCATAAACAATGATCATAACCCAACATGAACAATCCCCAACATAAATCCCATAGTCACATCCCCCAAGACACTCGTAATCACAACTCGTCCATGTCACAACACATAACACACTTTGTTGGCGCCACAGGACCAATCGCATGCCCATACATGAGGGTCAGCGCATATAGCTCTGACACGGCCCCGCAGCACCCTGCCCCGTATCGCAACACGGAGGGTTCGATCGCAACGGACCGATGAACCGCAGCTCATCATAGTGTTTGATCGCAACCAAACAGTGGACCGCAGCCCAAGAGAATGTCATCTGACCGCAGCCAGGAAAAAGGACGAACTGCAGCTCGTATAGAAACGTTTGATCGCAACCAAACGGTGGACCGCAGCCCAAGAGTATCAATCTGACCGCAGCCAGCTTCTGAACCGCAGCTCAGGATAACCAATCCGATCGCAACCGAATTGGGGTAACACACACATAACACATAGCAAGCACATGCAACCCACATTACACATTAGGAAGGGGGAGAAAACGTATAACAAAACCTATGCGTGATCCATCACTTACTAAGGATAGTCCTAAGGGGTTCATACTTCTTCCACCTAGGTCAACGGGATACCAATTCAACTAGCATGCAATATAATAGACTCATAAACCTACGAACGGTACCCGAAACATCACACTAGACATAGGCACGATAAACGGAGTCCGTTGGGACACCATGGGGAATGGGGAACATCAAACGGGGAAGCCGGGATCCCAAGTTGGGGGAATTTCCAGCGGGTAGCCGGTGGGTGGGGGCCACCCGCCGGCTGCCCGCCGGTTTTACTGTTCCGGGCAGCGGGTCGCCGGCGGGCAGCTGCCCGCCCGCCGGCCTCCCGCTGCCAGGCGGTGATTCTCGGCACCGGGTAGGTGGCGGGTCCCCTACCCCCCACTGACTCTTTTTCATCAATTGCGCCCCAGGAACCGTTGTGGAACCCGAAACCATGCTTAGACACTTTGCAACGCAATTAACGATTAACACGTAGACAATTAACGGATCAAATACGAGAAACGTACGGCACATAACCTATCATGCTTTTCTAAACATAATCGACACCCAAACATGCGATTTCCCCACCCGATACACCAAGAATAATATCATACGATACAACCTAAGGTTCTAATCACTTTTATAACATCAAGAATACGATTCGTCTTCTAATTACAAGATTCGGTACAAATAACACATAAGCATCAAGAATGCCAAACAATTATCAAGAACGACATATAAACATCAAGAACTCCGCATAATCATCAAGAACATCATTATTATCAAGAACCTACCAATATCTAGATCACCCATGGAATTATCCCATCAATCATCAATAATAATTTCACAATTCATCAATATACAATAATATGGGGAAATCCTACAAGGGAAATCATAGCTATGACAATAGGTTTTGTTGAGACATGGGTTACCTCTTAGCCTTAATTAATTCCTTGGCTTATGAAGGATCTTTCTTTAAGCTTCCTTTGCTTTCTTGATTTCTCCTAAGGGGATTCTTGGAGCTCTTTTGGGGTGGTGGGGCGTTATTGCTGTGGGAAGTTCTAGGTGCCTCCTAAGTCCCCTATTTATATATTTAGGAGTCCTAATTAGGAACTAATATTATAGGCTTGCTAATTCTATTCCTTTTGGAACTAAGGGTTAGGTTTAGGGGTTGGGTTTATATATAAGGGCCCATGGACTATGGTGGGCCTTTTTCCCTAATTAATCATTATAATTCATTCTTTCTCTTGGGCTATTAATTAATTAATTAATTGGTTTTAGGACTCGTAACACGGGGTGTTACACTTAGTATGTGATGGATCACACATAGGTTTTGTTATACGTTTTCTCCCCCTTCCTAATGTGTAATGTGGGTTGCATGTGCTTGCTATGTGTTATGTGTGTGTTACCCCAATTCGGTTGCGATCGGATTGGTTATCCTGAGCTGCGGTTCAGAAGCTGGCTGCGGTCAGATTGATACTCTTGGGTTGCGGTCCACCGTTTGGTTGCGATCAAACGTTTCTATACGAGCTGCGGTTTGTCCTTTTTCCTGGCTGCGGTCAGATGACATCCTCTTGGGCTGCGGTCCACTGTTTGGTTGCGATCAAACACTATGATGAGCTGCGGTTCATCGGTCGGTTGCGATCGACCCCTCCGTGTTGCGATACGGGGCAGGGTGCTGCGGGGCCGTGTCAGAGCTATATGCGCTGACCCTCATGTATGGGCGTGCGATTGGTCCTGTGGCGCCAACAAAGTGTGTTATGTGTTGTGACATGGACGAGTTGTGATTACGAGTGTCTTGGGGGATGTGACTATGGGATTTATATTGGGGATTGTTCATGTTGGGTTATGATCATTGTTTATGCTTTGCCTTATCTGCCTTATCTGTTGTGAACTGCATATGCTCGTTATAACTGTTGCTTGTGTCTGGCCTTATCTGTCGAGTCATTCCCGGTTTTAAAGCTAGAGTTCGTAGGATATATCTTCATGCTCAAAATGGTTTTCGTATATCTATATATATCTCTATATGTATTGTATTTCAACGCGTTGGAGTGGGTTACCAGCATCTCTCACTGAACAGATATATTTGGCTTTCAGGCACAGAGGACTAGAGCACTGGAGCGCGCTAGAACTGGAACGTAGAAGTAGATTAGTTTCCCTTTTTGGCCTGCGCGCCATATTATGCATTGTGTTTCAATGGATACTAGTTAGACAGCCTGTGCACCTGGGTTCTCTAGCCCAAGTGTGGCATAGCACCCCGTACACTTATGATACACTTTGGAATGTAATAAGATATTACCTCTATTATATAAGCTTAAAATGTCTTAAAAATCTGGGGTGTTACAGTTGGTATCAGAGCCTAAGTTTGACCCTAGGAAAAGACTCTTAAGACCGGACTTTAGGACATTAGGCTTGAACTCTAGGTACCTAGGAACATAGGACTCAGGAATCTTAGGACGCGCGGTGAGATTGTGAAACCTACACATAAAACCCTTCCCCACTTATCACTTCATAAGAAGTACGTCAGACTCTAATTTAACGTTCTTATAAACACTGACCAGAAAGACGATAGCATGGCACCGAACAGAAGGCAATCGAGAACTCCAGAGCCCGCCACAGACGACCCCTTGACCCAAACCCTACGACAGCTGACACAAGTCGCACAGGCATTAAGTGACGCGGCCCTTCGCAATAACAGGCCCCACCACCTCCATCAAACGCAAACTCAGACGTCGCCCGACAAGTTTCAAATCACCGACCACCCATGTTTTCGGGAGAAGAGGATCCCGCGGTCCTAGAAGAATGGATCCGAACCCTTGACAAGATTTTTGGGGTAGTAGAATGCCCGGAGGAACGCCGCGTAGAGATAGCCTCGTTCTACTTCGGGCACGAGGCCGATCTCTGGTGGATCCACGAGGGACCCACTTATCAACAAGAACCGGGGTTCAATTGGGAAAACCTCAAGACACGACTACGAGAGAGATTCTACCCAACCCACGTGAAGGCATCCATGTACGAAGAGTTCCTTCATCTAAAACAAGGAACGGCCACCATCGTAGAATACCATAAACGATTCCTCGAGCTGGCATGCTTCGCGCCAGAGTTAGTCCCCACCGAGGTAACCAAGATAGAGAGATTCGTGTCGGGCCTCAACTTCGAAGCTCGAAAGGCGCTAGTGGTAAGCAGACCTTGGACCCTCAACGAGGCTTACTCCAGTGCCGCGAATCTCTATCGGATCCAACTACTTCAACGCGGAGTTCAGGAACAAATACGAAGAAGAAACACCGGAAGTGGGGCACCGCCAGTGAAAAGAACGAGAAACGACACCGGCACAAGGACGAACAACCCGACCAATCAAAGACCGACCCTGGGAAACAACGAAGCTAATCCAAAAAGCTTCCCTTGCCCGAGATGCAACAAAAGCCATAGGGGCAAGGATTGCGCAGGCAACCCCTGGCGATGCTTCAACTGCGGAGAGGAGGGGCACAAGGCCTTCCAGTGCACTCGACCCCAAAGACCGCGCCCCGCCACCGTGGGCCAACACGGGGGCACCGGTCATCAAGGAAGTTACGGCGCTCCCGGAAAGGTATTCGTTATGAGCCACACTCAAGCCAACCTCGGAAACGAAGAGGACCTGGAAGGGGGAAACCCAATCCCGGAGGACGAGGACCATACGGATCCCACAGAAGAAAACCCAGAAAACGAGTTCTGTCTAGGATAAACCCTCACACCCCTTGTAATCACCCCCGTGTCGTAAAGACAACTTATTTAGCTTAGCTATTTCGAAAGTATTATGAATAAAGATTTTGATCGAATTTCAATTCCACTACGGAGGTAAAACACAAGTTAAACTATCAACCCAACCTTCCCTCCACTAAAGGACGAAACAAGGAAAAAGACAAAAAAAAACCACACCATCAAGAAATGCCTAATGTCACCATTAAGAATTGAACACTAGACCTCCTATTTACAAGTCCAAGCCCCTAACCACTAAACCATGAAGTGTTTCTTGAAACCTCAAGGGAATACTCCCTTGTTAAACCCCTCAAGTCCCTAAAACCCACAAAATCCCCAAATCAAAAACCCTTCTTCTTCCTCTTCTTCCTCCCCACTCCCTCTCCTCCTCCCTCTCACGCACCCCGCTGCCCCACCATAGCAACCACCCACCATCACCTCACGCCCTCGCCAATCGAACGCCGCCACCGCCCGGCCACTCCCCGCCGACCTCGCCCCGCCTCGCCGCCGTCCAAACCGAGCCACCGGAGACCATCCGCCATCCACCCGGACGCCACCCAGCTGCAACCCGCTGCCCAGTCGACCCCACAACGCCACCGCACCCCCACCACACCAGAGCCGGACCCCACCTCACCGGCGTCGACCTCGCAAACGGAGAATACGCCGAAACCCCGCCGCCGCCTCGCCGGAAAACCGCACCGCCTCGCCGGAGAACCCGCCGAAAAACCGCACCGCCTCGCCGGAAAAATCGCCGGCAAACATCACCATCAAACGAGCATCACGATGCCAAAGAAACCCCTCGGAATCCGCACCCCGGAGTGGAGCAACGCCGATTACACCGTAATCGGAGGTAAAGCACTTGAACCCGACCAATTCTCTCCGGAATTGGTTGACATGCTCAAACACCAAGGGCTTTAGATACTTACCTCGCCATCAAAGGGGACACATACCCCGAATTGGTGAAAGAATTCTACCAACACCTTGTGGCCACCAAACGGGGTGACAAAGTAGAAATTACCACCAAGGTCCGTGGCAAGGAAATTGTGTTTTCCGAAGGCCGATTGGCCAAGCTCTTGAAATTGACCACCACGGGTGTGTCTAACTATGACCGAAAGGGGTGGATTGATACCCAAACTAAGGGATACAAAGACTATCTCGGGAACTTACTCGGGAAAGAGGACGGGTTCACCTCGGCCACTCGACCAAACCGAAAGTGGCTATCAACGGAGCAAAAGATATTGGTTATGATTATAACCGATAGCCTCTTGCCCACCAATAACAAGAGCAAGGACGTGGGGAGCTTGGAGTGCACCTTTGCGTATCTCCTAAAACATAAAATCAAGTTCAACCTGCCGGCACTCATGCTAAAGCACATAGAGTTCTGCAAAACAAACAACCGGCTTAGTCTACCCTACGGGATGATCCTAAGTTGGATCATGGAAAAGAAAGGGGTGGACCTAAGCCACACCGAGGTCAAAACCGCCAATGGTATGGTTTTCAATGCCCAAAACCTCCGCCGCAACAACATCTACTACTCCGAAGGAGGACACTATCTCACCCTCGAAGAAATTTGCCAAAAACCCGAGGAGGAACGTAGGGAATTGGTTGATCGGTTGGACATCTCCAACAAAAAGCTCAAGCGAGCCATGCAAGATTGCGGAGGTACGGAGGAAAATGAGGGACAAGAGGAGGAAGACGGGCCTAACCCGTCAGTGCACCCACAGCCAGGAGGGAACCCGAGGGGACAAGACGAGGGTTCGGTCAACGAGCGCATCCTCGCACAACTCGACCGGCAGAATCAAATCATGGAAGAAGGGTTCTCATCCTTGGTTCGCACCACACGCGCACTCGATCAAAGAGTAGCAGCAATCGAGGCCGCCTTGGGCACTCGCGGTGCACCCAGTTCCAGCGCAGGAAACCGAGGTACAACCGAAAACTTCTTTATCACAACACCATCAAAAGTTCAGCCTACCCCAAGCCGAGACAAACGTAAGGCCGCAACCCTAACCAGGAGGCCGAGCTACGAGGTGTCTAGGGGTGAAAGGATGGACTATAACACCGGGCTTCAAGGACGAAGCCCCTTGTAAGGGGGAGAGAGTGTAACACCCCGTGTTACGACCCCTAAAACCATTTAATTAATCAATCAATAGCCCAAGAGAAGGAATAAATCATAATGATTAATTAGGGTAAAAGGCCCACCATAGTCCATGGGCTCTCATATATAAACCCAACCCCTAAACCCAATCCTTAGTTCCAAAAGGAATAGAATTAGCGAGCCTATAATATTAGTTCCTAATTAGGACGACTAGATATATAAATAGGGGACTTAAGGGGCACCTAGAACTCCCCACAAGAATAACGCCCCACCACCCCGAAAGAGCTCCAAGAATCCCCGTAGAAGAAATCAAGAAAGCAAGAAAGCTTAAAGAAAGACCCTTCATAGCCAAGGAATTAATTAAGGCTAAGAGGTAACCCATGTCTCAACAAAACCTATTTTCATAGCTATGATTCCCCCTTAGGGATTCCCCCATATTATTGTGATTGGCGAGATATGATGATAATTATTGATGTTTGATGTGATGATCCCATGAGGGATCTTGATAATCTTGACATTGGGAGATTCTTGATGATTATGGAATTCTTGATGATTATATAGAGTTCTTGATGATTATGTGTTGTTCTTGATAATTGTGTGATGCTCTTGATGTTTACGTGTTATTATTACCGAATATTGTAATTAGAAGACGAACCGTATACTTGTTGATATAAAAGTGATTAGAACCCTAGGTTGTATCGTGTGATCTTATTCTTGGATTATCGGGTGGGGAAATCGCATGTTTGGGTGTTGATTATATTAGAAAAGCATGATAGGTTATGTGCCGTCGTTTCTCGTATTTGATCCGTTAATTGTCTACGTGTTAATTATTAGTTGCGTTGTAAAGTCTCTAAGCATGGTTTCGGGTTCCACAAAGGTTCCCGGGACGTTATTGTGTGAAAAGAGTCAGTGGGGGGTAGGGGACCCGCTACCTACCCACGGCCGAGAAAACACCGCCCGGCAGCGGGTAGCCGGCGGGTGGCCCCCACCCACCGGCTACCCGCTGGAAATTCATCCCACCCGGGATCCCGGCTTCCCCGTTTGATGTTTCCCCTTTCCCCGTGGTGTCCCAACGGACTCCGTTTATCGTGCCTATGTCTAGTTTGATGTTTCGGGTACCGTTCGTAGGTTTATGAGTCTATTGTATTGCATGCTAGTTGAATTGGTATCCCGTTGACCTAGGTGGAAGGAGTATGAACCCCTTAGGACTATTCTTAGTATGTGATGGATCACACATAGGTTTTGTTATACGTTTTCTCCCCCTTCCTAATGTGTAATGTGGGTTGCATGTGCTTGCTATGTGTTATGTGTGTGTTACCCCAATTCGGTTGTGATCGGATTGGTTATCCTGAGCTGCGGTTCAGAAGCTGGCTGCGGTCAGATTGATACTCTTGGGCTGCGGTCCACCGTTTGGTTGCGATCAAACGTTTCTATACGAGCTGCGGTTCGTCCTTTTTCCTGGCTGCGGTCAGATGACATCCTCTTGGGCTGCGGTCCACTGTTTGGTTGCGATCAAACACTATGATGAGCTGCGGTTCATCGGTCGGTTGCGATCGACCCCTCCGTGTTGCGATACGGGGCAGGGTGCTGCGGGGCCGTGTCAGAGCTATATGCGCTGACCCTCATGTATGGGCGTGCGATTGGTCCTGTGGCGCCAACAAAGTGTGTTATGTGTTGTGACATGGACGAGTTGTGATTACGAGTGTCTTGGGGGATGTGACTATGGGATTTATATTGGGGATTGTTCATGTTGGGTTATGATCATTGTTTATGCTTTGCCTTATCTGCCTTATCTGTTGTGAACTGCATATGCTCGTTATAACTGTTGCTTGTGTCTGGCCTTATCTGTCGAGTCATTCCCGGTTTTAAAGCTAGAGTTCGTAGGATATATCTTCATGCTCAAAATGGTTTTCGTATATCTATATATATCTCTATATGTATTGTATTTCAACGCGTTGGAGTGGGTTACCAGCATCTCTCGCTGAACAGATATATTTGGCTTTCAGGCACAGAGGACTAGAGCACTGGAGCGCGCTAGAACTGGAACGTAGAAGTAGATTAGTTTCCCTTTTTGGCCTGCGCGCCATATTATGCATTGTGTTTCAATGGATACTAGTTAGACAGCCTGTGCACCTGGGTTCTCTAGCCCAAGTGTGGCATAGCACCCCGTACACTTATG